CCCCCAAAACCCCAAAACCCCAAAACCCCAGGAGTATAAACGAAGAATGAAGAATAAATATAAATAAAATGTCACAGAGATTCATTGACATAGCAAATTTTGATTACAATAGAAGTCCAAGTAAGTATTCCTTCCATTTAAATTCACTCCATGGTGTGTTCTGAAATAATAAAATTATAGCACACAAAAATACCAGAGCAAAAGCAGTTTCAATGTTACACAGAGGGGTTACAAGTTTGAACCCTACTTTCTTAGCCCAGAGTGAGATTTTTGAAGAACCAAGTAAGTCACTATTCTATAGATATACTCTATAATTTCTCTCTAAGAATATGCTAAATACTTCTCACCCAAATTGAAAACTCATCTTTGATATCTAGGCTCGCCATTTTCTCCTAATTTTCACTTGAACCCAAAGCAGGCATCAGGAAAGTTAGTTCAAATTCCTCTTGAGAAAATGGAATTTGAAGAGGTCCAAAGCTTCAAAGCCACTCATAGACAGATGAGCATCAATAGAGAAATTCCGAAGAATTCCAGCCAAAATCTCGACAAGTATAAGTCATCTTTATTCAAAAATCAATCAGCAATTCCACTGGACTCAAGTAGCTTGAAGATTAATATTGAAAAAGAGGAAATTTCTGAAGAGTCCTCTCAGACAAATTCATCTAAGAAGAAGCCTTCCCGAAAGGATTTATCTGATAAGGAATCTATAGTTGAAGAGAGCTCTCCTTTACCAATGCGACATAAATAAAGAATCGAAAATGAAATCATTCTCAAGGCTTTATTCTTACAGAGAAGATTTGGGATTGGTTAATAAAAAAACCACAAATATGTTCAATGACGCACCTCCAACTCCTTTACTTGAAGAGAGTGAGACTGAGTTTGATGAAAAGTCTATTGTAATTTCTCCAAATCAGACAAGAGACTTTACTAAGAAAAGATCCAACTCCATGTTTGCCTCTTTTCAGAACTTGTTAAAGAAAGATGAGGAAAACATCAGGTTGCTGCTGCCCCTTGATATTGATAAAGATTCTAACCTGCCCATTGCAAATGCAGTCCTAGAACTACGCTTAGAGTACATGGAAACATTCAAGAAGACTAATATGAAGAAACTCGTTCGCCGAAAATCCTGCTGCTGTAACTTCTGTGGGAAAATGAAGAAAAAGCATATAGGAGAAGACATAATTCTTGAGCAAGACTTCCTCAAAGCCAAGATACTAAATTCAATGACTCAGAAGGAAATGTCAGCTATTAAATAAGATCTTTCCAGAGAGAAAGCAGAGGCTTGAGTTTACAAAGAAGATCATTTCTGGTATCATTCCATTACCACAAATTAAGTAATCTATCTTTTTGGTTCGGCAATATGGATACTTTGGCTAAGACATAAACGAAGGGTTTTGATGCCTAATTCCACTTAGATTATTTAAAGCTCTTATTTTCACAACAAAATATGCTTATTCTAATCATGATATAGAAAACTGAGTGAAAGTAAGTCAAGATCAGCTCAAATTTAAGGTTCATACCTTCGAAGAATCCATAACAAATTCTAAGAAAATTTGAAATTATTTCACAGCAAATTTTTCTGAAATTTTAAAAGTTGTTTGGCAAAGTTAAATGATTTTCCAAAAATATTTCTAGTTGAAGAGCAAATAAAGCTTTAAGTAGCTCTCCAAAATAATTTATTTTGGATACAAGGCTTTTCATTGGAATACTTATTTATATCTCATAGCTGACAAGCAGATATTTGCCAGTCTCAGGAAACGCAACAAGTCGAACTTATTAAATGTGGGTACATCCAAGAACCATGATGAAAAATTGAAGAAGCCTAAGAGAAGAAAGAGCAAATCTAAACCACCTATTGACTTATGTAAAACACTTGGTAATTTCATACCTTTATTTCAGGCTTAGGATTCTTTGGCATTTCGAAGAACTCAGTTAAGAGTCCCAAGGATGGTCTTGCAAAGAAAGAGAGTGACAAGAATTCAACAGTAAGAAAGGATATGCAACTGTATCTTAAGAAAGCTATGCAACCTTATAAAATTAAGCGAACTGTTTTGAATCATAAAATGTTAGAACCTAAGCTTCATCCAGAAAGCTTATTTCCTAGTACCAAAATTCGGAAGTATGATTTGGATTAAATTTAGAAATGTTCTTACTAATAGACTGGCCTATTCATCAAAATTAGGAGAAAGAGGTAAAAGCTGAGAGCCAATATCCCAGAATGATTTACCTTCTCTGGCTGCTTCTAATAGGCAGCTTTCAACATCAAAGAAATTGGTCAAGAAGCATTTAAAGAAATTGAAGGTTGAAAAGATGAAGAAGATTTGTCTCTATGACAAGCGATTCCAGTATTTTCTCAGTTAACAATAGAAATTCCCATACTGCAAGAATAAGCACTTCTCCTGCCACTTCAAGACTGACAGCACTAAAGCATAAGCCTAAACACTCTAGGAAAATTGGTAAGAGTATTCCTAAGACAATTAAATTACTTGCAAGCTCAAGAAGACCCAAAAATGTGAAGAAATAACTAGCCTCAATTTTCTTTTCAGGGACTCATAATTCAACTCAAAATGCAATTAACCAAAATTTGTATAATCAATTTACAGCTAGTTCAACTTGAACAACCACATATGGGGTTTTGGGGTTTTGGGGTTTTGGGGTTTTGGGGTTTTGGGGTTTTGGGG